GACCCGGTGGATGAGGAGGTGCTGATGTCGCTGGTGGTGGAACTGGGACTGGACCGAGCCGATGAGCTTCCGGAGCTGTGGCTGGGGCAGAATGAGTTTGACTTCACTGCTGACTTTCCATCTGGCTGCTGATGCTGGTGTCCGTAAAGATGGAGGAATAAAGCCACCAATTCTGTTGTAAATAAAAATAAAAGTTACTTACAAGGAGCTGGGCCAACTAGAGGTGTTCTTCACTGAGATCTAAAGGTGTGTAGTGTGGTCTGATGTCCTTTTAGCAATTCTGAGGCCCAGGGTGGGGTTGCAGGTAGCTATAGGGAAGGGGCTAAATGGGAGGGGAGGAGGGGGGAGGGGTGGAACGCGCTGTTCGCTGTTCACCGAATTACCGCTGCCTCCACCACTCCTGTTACCTCCTCAGGAATCCAAGTACCTAGCCTTATCGCCCCAAGACCCCAGGAACCCTGTTCTACTCAGGGTTGAATACAGTGGCTGGTTGCAGGCATTCTTGGAAGAGAAACTGATGTAGATCCTTCTGCCACCTTGTCACTTGTACATCCAAGACACATCCCTGGCTACACGGTACACACTTCACCAACTCTAAAAGCCACCCCCACCCACTCTAACCCCAAGTTTTGCCTATGTGGAATAGGACCTAAGGGTCTTAAGACCTGGGAGCTCAGATTTCTCTGGAAAATTGCAAAAGCTATAGATTCCCATCATTGAAGTGGGTTTCAAGGTGCCTTCTTCAAGCCGCTCACACAGCTATTCAGCCCTCTTTAGCCTGGGGCACTCAGAAGCTCAGAGTGTCCCTTAACTCCTACCTCCCTGGTCCCCCCTGTTTCTTTAAGCTGGCCTCTCAAGCTTAGAGAAACAGATCAGGACTGGGCTTGGCAGGTTCAGTGTTTGGAGATACATCCCTTTGATTCACTGCTGAGGAGGCAGTGGCAATGCACTGGATCTTGGCCTTGTAGGGCCCTGATAAAGCCCTGTCCTCATGTCACAGCCCGGTGGCCTGGAGACTCCTCGTCCACATTGCAGACCCTTGGAGACTTTCTTCCTTGAACACTGAAAACTACTCATCAGGGCCCCTCAGGACCAGTGTCAAGCCTGCTCTACAGGGAACACTTTCAAAAGAGGCCAACTAGCAAAGGTGCTTCATTGGATTTGGCCCTCCCTAAATACCTGCTCTTGGCCAATCACTTTGCTAGACACTGGGAGCATGAATCGGACCATATTTGCACCTTTGAGGGGGTTCCCCATCTCGGGGAGAAATAGGCACAAACAAATCACAACAAAACAGTATTTCCTAAAACACGGAGGGGGAGGTGCTGTTCCATCCCGGAAAAAGAAACAGCTCCATCTGCCTGGGAAGTCTGGGGAAAACTTCCTGGAGTTGAACTGCTTCATTTGTTTGTTTTTATACCTCACAGGTAATAAATAGATGATACAGTCTCCTTGTAAAAAGTAGAAACTTTATTCGATAAGCCTAAAGTACCCTTTGACCAACTCTCTCCCTCAATCCTGATTGCCTCTGGTCCAACACAGAGGCAGCAACTGTCTATCTGCTTGTGATGTGTCCTTGCTGGCTTTGCTGTGCCTTTACATAAAGACATATCTACCTGCAGAAAGAACTGGGTTTTAAAGTAAGACTTGAGTCAACCAAGGGAAGAATGAGTGAGGGGAACGGCTGTTACACAGGTGCAGGCTCGCGAAAGGGGCCACCGGCTAAAACCCAGGAGTCGAGCATGCAGGCAGGTGGAGGGAGAGGGAGGGGATGAGGCTGGAGAGGGTGCAAGAGGCAGAGCAGACAGCCTTCCGGGAGCATGCCGCTGTCCTCAGTGCCCCAGTCCTGCGGCTCAGGGAAAATCTCTGAAGGTTTTAGGAAAGCAAATAATCAACCAGCTTTGATTTTTAGGATGATTCCACTAAAAGTGGATAGAGTCGTCTAAGGCTGGAAACGGGAAGACATGGGGTTTTAGGGGACTGGCGGGGCAGGAGTAGGAAAATGGAGAGGGAAGAAAGGAAGCCTGGGAGAAGGTGGGGAGAGGAGGGCGGGCTCGAGGGCCTGGAGTCCGCGAGGAGAAAAACAGAAGAACAGGATTGGGGGAGGCAGGAAGGGAAGGGGAAGGAGGGGAGCTGTGGTCAGCCGGTGGGTCTCAGAATCCACACAGCTTGGAGTGACACAAGGACAGCGTGTGGGCACAGGGGTGGGGTGTGAAGCAGAGTGGCAGAATGTGGAAGGAGCCGAACCCTAAAAGGCTGGAGGGTCTCGGGGTCCCTCCCCTGCTGTGGCCTTCAAAAAACATCATCGTGGGCCGGGCGCGGTGTCTCCCGCCTGTAATCCTAGCACTCTGGGAGGCCGAGGCGGGCGGATTGTTTGAGCTCAGGAGTTCGAGACCAGCCTGAGCAAGAGCGAGACCCCGTCTCTGCTAAAAACAAAAAAAAATTGAAAGAAATTATCTGGACAACTGAAAATATATAGAAAAAATTAGCCGGGCATGGTGGCGCATGCCTGTAGTCCCAGCTACTCGGGAGGCTGAGGCAGAAGGATCGCTTGAGCCCAGGAGTTTGAGGTTGCTGTGAGCTAGGCTGATGCCACGGCACTCTAGCTCGGGCAACAGAGTGAGACTCTGTCTCAAAAAAAAAAAAAAAAGAAAAAGAAAGAAAACATACTTCAAACATAGCGACATATGTAGGTTGAAAGTACAAAGATGGAAAAAAGATATATCATACAAACATCAATTTTTAAAAAGCAACAGTGGCTATATTAATATCAGTTAAAGTAGACTTCAGAGCAAAGAAAATTAGTAGGGGAAAAAAGGGACATTCTATAATGTTAAAAGGATAAATCTACTAAAAAGACATAGCAATCCTAAATATGTATGCATCAAACAACAGAGCTTCAAAATACATGAAGCAAAAACTGAGAGAGCGGAACAGCAAAATAGATAGATCCACAATTAGAGGTGGAGAGTTCAACACCCTCTCTCAACAATTGATAGAACAACTAAACAAATTCAACAAGGATATAGAAGAACTCAACAATGCCATCAACCAAGAGGATCTAATTGACATTCATAGAACATTTCATCCAGCATCAGAAGAATACATATTCTTTTCAAGTGTTCATTGAACATTGACCAAGATAGATCATATCCTGGGTCATAAAACAAACTTTAATACATTTAAAAGAAGTGAAATTATGCAAAGTGTGTTCTCTGGCTATAATGGAATCAATTCAGAAATAAATAACATAAGATAACAGGAAAAATCTCCAAACACTTGGAAACTGAACAACATACTTCTAAATAATCCATAAGTCAAAAAGAAAGTCTCAAAGGAAATTTCTTAAAAATTTATTGAACTGAATGAAAATGAAAATACTGTATATCAAAATTTGTGGAATGCAGCTAAAGCAGAGAGGGAAATTTATAGCTCTAAATGCTTACATTAGAAAAGAGGAAAGGCCTCAAATCAATAATCTAAATTCCTACCTCAAGAACTAAGAAAAAAGGCCGGGCACAGTGGCTCACGCCTGTAATCCTAGCTCTCTGGGAGGCCAAGGCGGGCGGATTGTTTGAGCTCAGGAGTTCGAAACCAGCCTG